TTTATCTCCTCCTGGCAGCTGTTACAGATTGCCAAGTGAGATTATGTGTACCTTTGTAAAAAAAGCATGTGGCCTAGAAATATGATCTTTATTTAGTCTTTTGCATTTTATTTTAAATTTTAAGTGAGATCATGGCAAATGAAGTTTAAAATAAAGTTTAAGATAGATTAATCTGTCAACAATCAGTTATCTGTCTCTAATGTTTCAAGGGATTTTCACTTTCGTACACAATAACTGTAGGTATAATAGTTTGGTATATCTTACATATGGCACACAGACATCTGTCCTTATAGCTAATTATACTCATCCATTCATTTTTTAAAATAAAAATTTATCGAGAACTTGGCAGTATTCTAGACTTTGTGGAATGCAAGAGTAAAAAAAAGCAGATAAAGTAAGTTGCTCTGTGGCTCAGGTAGTAGAACTTGCTAACCTTGAGCACAAAGAAGCTCAAGGACAATGCCCAGGCCCTGAGTTAAAGCCCCACAACCTTTTTTTTCAGGGGGAGGGAGGGGCGGAAATGGGGGGGAAAAGGGCAGACAGAGCTTTTTAAGAATCTTAACCATCTTGGAGTAGATTCTAACGGTAAGAGAGACAAAAAGAAAAAAGAAAAAGGGGGGCTGGGAAGGTGGCTCAGTGGTAGAGCGCTTGCCTTGCATGCTCAAGGCCCTGGGTTCGATTCCTCAGCACCACATAAGCAAAAAGAAAAAGCCGGAAGTGGTGCTGTGGCTCAAGTGGTAGAGTGCTAGCCTTGAGCTGAAGAGCTGAGGGACAGCGCCCAGGCCCAGAGTTCAGGCCCCACAACCGGACCCAAAAAAAAAAAGAAAAAAAAAAGAAAAGGGGATGTGCAAAATATTTATTGTGTTAGGATAGTAAATTCTGTGGAAAGAAGAGGATATAGAGGCTAGGAGTGGGTTAGTTTCAAGTAGAGTGGTTAGGGGAAAGTCAGGCACCAGTGGCTCACATCTGTAATCCTAACTACTCAGGAGGCTGAGATCTGAGGATCGCAGTTCAAAATCAACCCAGGCAGGAAAGTCCATGAGACTCTTATCTTCCCTTAACCACCAGAAAACCAGAAGTGTCACTGTGGTTCAAGTGGTGGGAACGCTTGCCTTGTGCTGAAGAGCTCAAGGAGAGTGGCCAGGCCCAGAGTTCAAACCCCACAACTGACCAAAAAAAAAAAAAAAAAGAATGGTCAGCAGAAAATTCACAGAGATTGCATTGAGCAAAGACCTGAAAGAAGGAAGGGAGCAAGCCCTGAGTCTCTCTAGGGGAGACATAGGCAAAAGCAACATCCATTGTAGTAACCCTCAGGTAGTGACATGCTTGGCTTGTGGTTAGAAAAGCGGGGCCAGTATGGCTGGAGAGGTGATAGAAATCCAAACCAAATAATAATAAAACCCAGTCTTTAGATCCCAGGCCTGAAGTCCAGTAGTCCCAAGTTAGGTTCAGCCACTTTCCCCTGTATGCCAAATAAAGAGACATAGTAAAGGAGATTTAAATGGCAACCAAGGAAAGACAGCACTTCAGTATATTTTCAGCTGTCTTCAGAGGTACAGACATTGGCTTCAGGTTAAATAGGGAGAATTGGGGCAATGATAAGTAAGAAAGGTATGCATAGTTGAACCATTCCCAAGTCATTAGATGGTATGATTGATCATTAGCCCACTCTGTCTTTGGAGGGAGTCTGAGAAATTATTACTTTATTACTAGAACAGAACAGGAACAAAGTAGTCTTCTGGAATTTTTGGCTGTTTACTTTAAGATGATAAGACATTGCTTGTTTGAGCAATGTCTTTGACTTCTACACAAGATTGCTTATCTGTGACTCTAGTCTTTCTTGGAGCCCATGATTATTGCGAAGTTTACTGCAGTAGAGAATAGCTCAGATCAAAGGGCACAGATTCAGAGTTGGGGACTTTCAGTTAATTCACGGGGCTCAACAATAGCCCTGTGAAGTTGTTTAAGTTTGTAGTACAATAAAAATTGAAGTTGTCACAGTTTACCTTCAGATAATGTCATATTTAATATAAGAGCCTTTTTGTTGTGCTTTTGTTGTGTTTGTGTTTTTTGAGAGAGAATCTTGCTTTTCAGCCCAGGCTGGCCTTTAAACTCTCACATTTCTTCCTACCTCAGCTTCCTGAGTGTTAGGATCATATAAGGATTTTTCAAATGATTTTATCATTAAAAAGTTTTTTTTGTTTTTGTTTTTTGTGTAGATTCTACAGTTGAACTTAGGGTCTAAGCACTGTTCTTTTTTTTTGGTCGTGGGGCTTGAACTCTGGGCCTGGGTGCTGTCTCCCTCAGCTCTTCAGCTCAAGGCAAGTGCTCTACCACTTGAGCCACAGTGCCACTTCCAGCTTTTTCTGTTTATCTGGTTCTGAGGAATTGAACCCAGGGCCTCATGCATGCAAGGCAAGCACTGTACCACTGAGCCACCTTCCCAGAGCTAGGCACTGTTCTTGAGGGGGAAAAAATACCCCTGAGACAGCACCAAGACCCTGAGTTTAAGCCTCAAGACTGGCACACATACAAAAAAAATTTTTTTAAGGAATAGAAACATGAGATTTATGTTTAATGTCTTTACCATGTCTAATGTTTTTCTTTAGTTTATATTCATCCAGATGTGTTTTTGAAACAAGGTCTTACTTTGTCACCTAGACTAGCTTCAAACTTGTAATCTTCTTGCTTTAGCCTCCCAAATGATGAAATTACAAGTGTGTCTTATCATGCTGCTTTAACTTTTTTGTTGTTTTGTTGGTCATGGGCTTGAACTCACAACCTGGGCTTTGTCCCTGAACTTTCTTGCTCAAGGCTGGTGTTCTACAGCTATGAGCCAAAGCCTCAGTTCTGGTTTTTAGGTGGTTAATTGGAGATAAGAGTCTTATGGACCAGGCTCACTTCGAATCATAATCCTCAGAATCCAGTTTCCTGAGTAGTTAGGATTACAGGTGTGAGCCACCAGCGCCTGGCCTGGTTTATATTTTGAAGGGTACTTTGTTGCAGATAGCTTGTACAGGGGAAAAGACTGGAAACAGACTTTGGAGAAAATGGAAAAACTTTGTTTTTGAAATGTCATATTTAAGGAGCCATTTCAATATTCAAGTGGAGATGTCAAGCAGTCACTTGGGTATGAGTCTTGCACTCAAAGGATAGAACACAGGGCTGAGAATGTGCCTTAGTGGTAGAGTGCTTGCCTAGCATGCATGAGGCCCTAGGTTTGATTCCTCAGTACCACATAAACAGAAAGAGCTGGAAGTGGCACTATGACTCAAGTACTAGAGTGCTAGCCTTGAGCAAAAGAAGCTCAGAGAAGGGGCTGGGAAGTTGGCTCAGTGGTGGAGCACTTGCCTTGCATGCCTGAGGCCCTGGGTTCGATCCCTCAGCACCACATAAGCAAAAAGAAAAAAGCCGTAAGTGGCGCTGTGGCTCAAGTGGTAGAGTGCTAGCCTTGAGCTGAAGAGCTGAGGGACAGCACCCAGGCCCAGAGTTCAGGCCCCATGACCGGACCCAAAAAAAAAAAAAAAAGTTTCTGTACAGCTAAGGACATAGTTACTAAACTAGAAAGCCAACTAGTTGGGAAAAAGATATTTACCAGCAATACATCAGATAAAGGCATAATATCCAATAGACACAAGGAGCTCAAAAAACTAACCCCTCCCAAATGTAAGTACTTAGCTCAATAATCTGAGGATTACATGCAATTACATGCATCTATATAACATCCCAAGTAACAAACAGAACATTTCTGTTTCTATTTTTATTATTAGAAAGAAAAGAAAAGGGACACCCTTATGTCCCTTTCTAGGCACCATCCTACATTCAATTACTTCTTCTATTAACATATAATAGTTTGTTGTTGGGTTTTATATAAACACAATTAATTACACATTATGTACTTGGCTTCTTTTGTTCAACCCAAGGTCTGTATAAGCCTTCTTCTTTTTTTTTGTCAGTCATGGGGCTTGAACTCTGGGCCTGGGCGCTGTCCCTGCACTCTTCAGCTCAAGGCGAGGTCTCTACCACTTGAGCCACAGCGCCACTTTCCTAGTGGTTTATTGGAGATAAGAGTCTCATGGACTTTTCTGTCTTGGCTGGCTTTGAACCATGATCCTCAGATCTCAGCCTCCTGAGTAGCTAGGATTACAGGCGTGAGCCACCGGTGGTGCCCAGCTTGTATGAGCCTTCTTGAGATGTTTATTTACTTAATTTTATGACAAGATGAAGTTTCCCTGTGTTTCCTCCTGTCACCAGCTACTCATTTTCTACTCTTTTTACCTAGTTGGTTCCTTCTTTCCTGATATCTACATAATTTGTTGTTATGGAGCTCAGATCTGAAACATTACTTCTTACATACCTCTGCTCCTTAAATGATTTTTTTTAATAGTTTCACAGTTTAAAGAGCCTGTAGAGTTGATAAAACCCAGCTTTTTATTGCTAGCTCTGTGTTCTGTCCTGTTTTCGTTTTTCCAGTCAGTCCTGGGACTTGTACTCAGAGCCTGGACACTGTCCCTGAGCTTCTTTTTTTTTTTTTTTTTTTGTTTCCCAGCCCCATTTTTACTTTAATGTAGTCCCACTTGTCAAGTCTCTCTCCTATCTGTTGTGCTCCTAGGACTGTATTCAGGAAGTTCCTGCCTGTACCTATAAATTAATTCTCCTACTCTCTCACAGTAATTTTAGAGTTTTGGGTCTGATGTTAGGTCTTTGATACACCTTGAATTGATGTTAGTGCATGGTGACCAGCAAAGATCCTTATTTTTCTCTAGACAGTAAACCTAAACATTGGAAGCATGTAATGACATACAAATGTCAAGGCAGCTACAAAAGTTATTCCAAAGTAGAACATACTAAATTGTGGAATCTTAACTTGTGCAAACAGTAGTTGGTGACTTATACTACTTAGCCCAAAGAACAATGTCCCTTCATTCTTCCATAACTAGTCACTGTCTCTGGACCTGTGATGTGGCCTTTTATTTTTAATTGATGTTATTTTATTGCAGTTGTCGGACAAGTAACCGCAAGAGCTTGATTATGACCTCTAATACATCACCTACACTACCACGACCGCACTCCCCACTCCATGGCCACACAGGTGAGTGCTTGCCAATTAAGGTTGAATGAAAGAGTGTACACAGAGTACAAATTTCTTTGCTCCTTCTCACTTTATGTGGATTTAGTATTATATTGTCATATCACTGGTCTGACTGAAGCATACATAGTTCATGGGCTTTCTTGCTTTCTATACGAGATTGTGTTTAGCATACTTTTTTTTTTGGTTGGAGGGACTTAAACTCTGGGCCTGGGTGCTGTCCCTCAGCTCTTCAGCTCAAGGTGAGCACTCTACTACTTGAGCCACAGCACCAGTTCTGGTTTTCTGAGTGGTTTATTGGAGATGATAATCTCATGGACTTTCCTGCCCAGGCTGGCTTTGAACTTCGATCCTCAGATCTCAGCCTCTTGAGTAGCTAGGATTACAGGCATGAACCACGGTGCCCAGCTCAGCATACTTTTGACTCTTAGTTATTTCTTTCCTTGCCCTCTCAACGTTCCTTTTTTTTTTTTTTCCTGTCGGTTGTGGGGACTGAACTCTGGGCCTGGGCATTGTCCCTCAGCTCTTCAGTGCAAGGCTAGCACCCTGCCACTTGAGCTACAGCACCACTTCCGGCTTTTTCTGCTTACGTGGTGCTAAGGAATTGAACCCAGGGCCACATGCATGCTAGGCAAGCACTCTACCACTGAGCCATCTTCCCAGCCCCTCAGTGATCCTTTTAATATAGCTTGAGGTCAGGTGTATATCCTAGACCCTAGCCTTGATTGTAGTGTGTTCTAGTGCTCATCACTTTGGGCCTTATATATTTTGTTCTACCATGTCCAAGGATCAGGGCTCACAGAATTTTCAGTTTCACAAGACTCCTAGAAACAAAAATAAGTGGAATCATTGTTTATATTGACATTGATTTTACATATTGGGATTGAAGCTCATGACTTCAGACTTGTTCCATATAGAATAGGCTTCTACAGACAGGATAAGGACTGAAATGTTTTTTTCTGATAGGAACATATACAAATTATGGGATTTGCATTGACCCAGGCATGGACTACTTCCCAAAGAAGGAATAGTGTTCTCATTTGAGTTAGCCATGTATTTTAGCCTGTATACATATCCTTGCATTCCATGGGAGCAAGACAGTTTTACTGAAGGACTGCCACTACCACACTGTTCATTGTTACAATGCGCACAGCAAGTAATTATAAACCAGAGATTGGTAATCCATAGATACTATTGTACTAGGCCTAGACCCGTCTTATTGATTTTTTTGGCTATAAAAAGGGTTTATCAAAGCTGGGAAATAGGTATGCATCAAGCTGATTAAGACAAGTGTGGCCCTCTTGGGTTTGTGTTTTTGCTCATTTTACTTAGTATTTGAAGGAATGGAGTAGAGTCATGTGTGTTTTTTCATGACCCTAAAAGTCTGTAGACTCTGAAACTTAGCTGTCTTTGGGAGAAGAGTTTCATCTCAGACATTAGCTGTCATATTAGCAGCAATCCCCAAGGGCTGTGGGCATACCTCAAGTGGTAGAGTGCTTGCCATGCATTCAATCCCCAGTATTGCAAAAAAAAAAAAAAAGACAAAGAAGAAAACCCCACCAATAACACAGGATGTCCAGGAATTTAAAGACCTATTTGGCCTTTAAAGCAAAGGTCTTGCATGCATACATGCTTTCTTCTGAAAAGTTGACTGGGGTTCTGACTTAGTTCAGATAGCTCCTCCTACCCTAAAAATTCTAAGAGCTAGATACAATAGCTTATGACAGTAATCCTAGCTATTCAGGAGGCTAAGCCTAGAGGATGATGGTTTAAGGCCAGCCTAAGGAAAAGGTTCATATGACCCCTTTTTAACCAATAGCTAGGTGCCATGGTATGCACTTGTCATCCAAGCTACAGGGGGAAGCATAAAATAGGCAGATCAGGGTTTAGGACATGCTGAGGCATAAAGCAAGACCCTATTTCAACCTAACCCATGCCAAAAAGGGCTTGAGGTATGGCTCAGCAGTAAGAGCGCCTTCTTAGCAAGCTTGAGGTCTGAATTCAAACGCTAATACTGCCATTTTGTTAGATTAGCATATGTCTAACCCTGACTTTTCGTAATATAGAAATAAATTTAGCTTGTTTAGGCTTTGTATATAGTTTCACAACTGTAATGTGAGTACTAGGCAGTAATTACTACTGGCTGCTTCTAAGTCAGATGATTATCTCTCTAGATTCTTGGCAGAGTTTGGGACTAAAGTGGCTTTGATTGAGAATACCACCTGGCCTTTTCAGCCTTTCTAAATCTCTGGACTTCAGCTTTTTGAGTTAATATGTGTAGCATAGTTTGTACTTCATAAATATTATAATAATCATCATCTGTCACCAAATCACTGCAGAAAATCCAAGTGGGAAGAATTAAAATAAAAGCCCAGTCTGTTTCTGTAGACAATACTTCAACTGATGAGAAAAGCAGCACCAATTGTCCTATATAGTTCAAACTTGACAGTATATTACATTCTCAAAACTTCACATTCTGAAATTTGTGTCTGTAAGTTATTTTAAGATCTATCAGCTAAGCTCTGGACGCTGGTGGCTCACCTCTGTAATCCTAGCTACTCAAGAGGCTGAGATCTGCGGATCGTGGTCCAAAGCCAGCCTGGGTAGGAAAAGTGTGTGAGACAAGTCTTAACCCCAATAGACCAGCAGAAAACAGGACGTGGTGCTGTGGCTCAAGTGGTAGAGCTTTCGCCTTGAGCTGAAGAGCTGAGGAACAGTACCCAGGTCCAGAGTTCAAGGCCTATGACTGACCAAAAAAGTAAAGACCTGTCAGCTTCAATTGTTTTCTTTTTTCTTTTTGTCTTCAGTTTTAAGTGTTGAATCTGTTGAATAATATAAGGTTTGGTAATTTGAAAATAGGTTTATTTATTCCATATAGCTCAAAGCACTATTAAAAATCTATATAAACAGATTACAGCATCAGTAAGATTAGTCCATTAGGCATTTAATCAGCTATTCTGTAAATGAAAATTTCCTAGAACTTACAATTATAGTTCTGTAGTCTGGGTTGGGAACTAGTTTGCCTGTTTTACATTCCCTGCTTCCTTTTAGTTGGTATAGGAGGTCCACAAGCATCTGGAATTGGTTATTTCCTTTCCCAACAGATTATAACCTCCATCCTCTCTGAGGATTGAGAACAGAATACTATGATTCTTTCAGAATGGTTGTTTTCTTCCCCCTGGTGGAATCAAAAGAGAATTTCCCCTTAATATTCACTGTGAAAGTATTTGTTGATAGGGTTTTTATGGTTTAAAATCACAAAAATGTGAGGGACTCCTCCCACTAAGTTCCTTAAATGTTTAACTCTCAGCAGATTACACTGATAGTCTAGCAATTCAGTTGTAGTTTAGAGTGTAGTATGCTGGCACTGGTTACTGTGGAGGCTTCTGCTTGTGAGTAATAATTCATAAATTCTGATTTCTGCAACTTACTCCTCTGTATATCTCTAGAGTTTAGGCGACAGTGGTTTGTCCTATCACCTCATTTTCTGACATGTCTATGAAGGCTGTTTTCCAGTTTGTTAAACGAAAGAATTAGCTCCTGATTCATAGTCCTTTGTTATTCTCAGTGATTTTATTTTTGGGTCAGGTTGTGGGGCCTGAACTCTGGGCCTGGGTGCTCTCCAGACTCAGCTCTTCAGTTCAAGGCTACCGCTCTACCACTTGAGCCATAGCACCACTTCTGGCTTTTTTCTTTTTCTTATGTGGTGCTGAGGAATCGAACCCAGGGCCTCATGCATGCAAGGCAAGTGCTCTACCACTGAGCCACCTTCCCAGCCCCATTCTCAGTGATTTAAGCACAGTCATAGATGATTTTTCTAGTTCTTAGGCCTTTGAGGTTCTTGGAACTCCTGACTTCCAGTGAGCTTGTCTTCGATGCTACTTCAAACACTTTTGTCCTAGACCTATTATTTATACTTGTCCCCATAATTTCACTTTCCTTCTTCCTGCTTCCTTGGTAACACCTCCAATCTTTCTAGCCCTTGTCATCTAGAAACTCCACCTTGAAAAAAACAGTAATTTGATCCTAAGATTTCTGATCCTTCTGGTCCTTAGTTCTATTGAGATGTCTTCTGTACATTTGTGTGACTAACTCAGTATATTTGTCTTAATTTCCAGGAAGTAAGGGCAGGAGATAGAAATGGTGGACTTTCAGCATATAAAAAAATTTTAAAGCTGTGTGTCTAGAGATCACCTAGGGAATGAACATAAAGCCTAAACAAAAAGGGCTAAAGTACAAGAATTTACCCTTGGGATGTTCCAGTTTTTAGAGGTTAGGAGAATAGAGAAAGAGCAAAAAGGAAAGAGGAAAAGTTAGAACATGTGGTGTTCTGGAGGCCGCATTAAAAAAGAGCATTTCAATGAATAGAGAGTTATTCCCTGTGCCAAGAGCTATGTACAGTCAAGTGAAATGAAGTCTGAGAACTGCCATTTGGATATAGGAGTCACATCAATGTTGACATTGATTTGATGGAATGGTAGGGGTGAAACCTAGCTGGTAAGTTAAGAGAGAAAAGTTTTGTTTTCTTTTAAATGGAGATAATAGCTATATTTGCTTTTAAGGTAAAGAGCACAAATCAGAGATGGGGGATGTAGCTTAGTGGTAGAGCACTTGCCTGTCTTGTATAAGAGTTTGATTCCTCAGCATCTCAAAAAAGGCTGGAATGAAATATGAAAATGCATAGAAGGGTCATGATTGTTTCTTATTTGAGAAAAATTGTTACTGAAGAGGTGGGAAGATGGTTGGCAAAAATTGACTTTCGGGGCTATGAGGGAAAGAATTGTGTCTAGTAAATAAGTAGAAGATTGGATATAATCTGGCACTCAGTTCTTCCATGGCAGTAGGAAAGGAAGTGGGGGATGTGGCATAAATGATATGTGTAATGATTAGAACTTATTGAAGTTTTCTCAGTACCTGTTTTCTCACTGAAATGGAAATTGAAGTGATTTGTTGAGAGCCTGAGGAGAGAGGTGAGAATGAAAATGGTCACTTAAATAGGGAAT